AAAGCTTATGGGAAAAATACGTTTTTCTTCCAAGCCGTGGCAGTTCCTTATTTCCTGTGAGGAAGGAGTTTATAGCCCCACTCTTGACTGAAAAGTGTGAGAGAATTCAAGCTCTTGAAAATTCAGCTGTTTGCATTTCCGGAAAGACAGAGAAAGCCTCAGTGATCCATTTCACAAATCAAGGGTATAGGAAAGTGGATGGCAATTTGAGATGTTTATTGGGTTTAGAGAGGGAACAGACGTCTGCCATCAATCCCACCTCCTGTGCTGGAGTCTTGCAGTTCATTTTTCTCTCTAGCCCTCTTCCAACTCCTATGCCCAATATCAAAGACATCTGACAGAGTTAACCATCAGAATCAACGAGCAGTTCCCACAGAGTTCCCTCCTGCAGGAGAGGTACCGGGACAGGTGAGGGAGACCTGAAGCTGCGGTCAGAAAACGCTGTGCCTTTTACGCTCTTAGGGAACCTTAGACCGAGAGTTTCAAGTGTCGAAGGCAAGCAGTTGTCGGCCCCTCCTGTAGGATCCTGTGGGTTCTGGACCCGGAAGAGAGCCTGGGAGCTAGGGGTGACCTGGAAGAGCCCAGTCACGGAGGCTGGATGGCTGTTTGCTGCGTAGGAAGCTGTTGGCGACCAGAATGGTTTTTACTTTGTTCCTGGGACCAACAGGATCTGCGTGGTTCTCAGGGCATAAGTCGACTACTCTCCCACTGCGCAACGCAATGCGTGGAATGCAAGAACAGTACAGACTTCCTGCCGGCCTCGGTGGCCAACGCCTGTGATCCCAGCACTTTGGGAGTCCCAAGTGAGCAAATCACTTGAGCTCAGGAGTTCAAGACCAGCCTGGGCAACATAGCGAGACCCCAGGCTCTAATACACACACACACACACACACACACACACATACATATACACACACACGAATTAGACGGGGGTGGTAGCACTCACCGGTGGTCTCGGCTACTCTAGAGGCTGAGGCAGGAGGATCGCTGGATCCCAGGAAGTCGAGGCTGCACTGAGCCAAGATGACACCACTGCACCAGCGTAGGCCAGAGAAGAAAAAAGAAAAGGACAACAGACTTCCCTAAGCCTGTGGGGGACAGAGTGGGTAGAACCGGTAGCATTTTGGAGGCACCGAGCGCGCGGTTGGTCGGTCGCTGCACCGTTCCTTTCCCAGCGCCAGCGGTTTCTCAGTGCCAACGCCACTCCTTTGTCAGCGTTATCGGATGCTCTCTGACTGCAACCTTCCTTCCGCCAAAAGTTGTCTTTTGCAGCTTTTGGCGGAAGGAAGGTTGCAGTCAGAGAGCATCCGATAACGCTGACAGAGGGGCAGGTAATCGCAGGGTCCCTGCGCCGCTGGTTTCACAACTTTGCGGGTGCCCCACCCCACCATCACCCGCCAGCAGCATAATCGGTGAACCGAGCCCGCGGTTTCTCCGCTGCGCCTTTGCCCATTGCGTCCTGCGAAGCCAGTGGACTCGGTGGTCGCAAGGTTGGTTTCACCAAGTCTGGCGTTTCTTGGCACGGGCACCGCCCTGCGCTTTGTGCTGGCCCAGGCCGGTCTCAGCACCGTTAGGTGCCCTCCAAAGGCGACTCTCTGTCATGGGTAGGAAAGCTGTTATGAGACGACAGTTTTTCAGAAGTTTCTAGTCGAGTCCAGCTGACAGTGGTTTCTGAATCGCAGAACCACTGGTTGCGCGCAGCTGGATGGTACTTCTGTGGCCCCCAATGTTTCTCTGTCGTATCCCCAAGGCTGTCGTCGAAATCGCGGTGTTACTCTGGCCCCACAGTCACGCGGGGAACTTCTTCAGTGGCTGCGGGGTTCCCTCCACGGAGTTGCCCGTTTTGATCTGCGCTTTGTCACAGAGACCAGAGCAGACACTTTTCTGTTTCTGTCAACTGCTAGCTGTGCTGTGCACAGTTTCCTTGTCTCCGTGCCGGGCTTTCTCCAGCCGAGGCCCTCTAGTGCCGGGGTAGCGGTCGCAGCACCCAGAGTTTCCATTGACTCTTTCGCCAGCAGCGCGGTGCCAGCGGTTTTGCCTTCACAGCACTTGTTGAACGGAGTTTCTCGGTGGCCGAACTTCTCTTTTTTTCTCAGAGTCGACGGTTCCTTGGTGACAGCACCGTTGGTTGCGCCAAAACGAATGTTGTACCTGACAACGTCGCTGGCTGCATTCCTTCCCAGGCTCCTGGCACCGCCATTTCGCCGAGCGGTGGTCTCTTGTTCGCAGTCCTGTGCCTCCATTTACCGGTGGCGGCAGCGCTCAGGCCACGGATCTGAGAGATTGGAAGTGGCCGGTGCCCCAGTTGGGCTGAGTTGCCGGACGGACGGGTGCTGCAGGGCTGGGCGGGCGGAGCCCGACGCTC